CTGTAAATACATCATACTTAGACCTTCGATGTTCATCTCCAGGCGACTGCTCCATCAGTCCATGTGGGTCTGTGGTTTATTAGCAAAAAGGCACCCCAAATCCCCCGACTAGGTATACTAGGGGACACATGAGATAGGAAGACTCATTTCCTATGGTTCACTACTCCTGTGCCATCTCCGGGTAGTATATGTATATAATTCCACTGTTCTATGTTCCGAACCTGGAACGGGTCCAAACGCCTCAAAGACGGTTTGTCACTCACGACCGTTTTGACTCGGGTGGACGGCCGCCATGGCCGGTTCTGTGGAAATCCGAAAGAACGAACAGAGGTCTCCCCTCCAATTCCCTTCAAGGCAAGGTTGGGATGTTGCGGGGGGGTGATTTCGATCATGAAGGGCAGGTGGGTATCTTAGTTGGTTTATTTTATGGTATTTTATGACAACTTGACTGGTTTTACTTGCTTGGTTTATCATGTGTATCTTGGTTTCTATCATGATCTGGCTACTGTACTTACCGGTTATCATCGAACGCCGCTAATTCGGTCCCGGACGGCTGTTGCCAAACGGCAGGCGTGGGGCCGGGAATGCATGCGGAGGGATTGACGTGCGCACTGCAAAGAACATGTGGAAGTGGGAGGTGCAAGGGTTCTCTTTCACAGCATGACTCATGAACTGGGCATGTTGCTCTACATTGACTCTACATCTGGCAAGCTTCACTTTCCGCGAGGGGGACAACTGCTCGTACTCTGCCGCAATCTCACTCTCTGATGAAACGTTCTGCTGTCATTGCTGATCCCTGTCAAATGGAATCGTCCATCTAGATCCAGTCTTGTGAATTTACACCCACGATCAGTGTGCTCAATAGGTAAGCAAACCTTGGCTACGCTAGAAACCCAAAAGCTAGGGCCGCGGGTTGCACTTTGGCATCGTGTCAAGCATCCTCTCAAACCCCAAGTCTTGAACAAAGGCTCAACAAAACAAAGAACACAAACTGCAAGCCAATACCCGCTGCAGTACACAATCTTGAAAAAGAAAACAGGGCAATCACTAGGGCAAACAAAAGGCATGTACTTTTCAAGATACTGAAAGTCTTGCAATGTCATCACTTTGGGGACGACCTTCTGACTTCCCAAGTTCTCAAACATCGCTTTGGCTTGATGTCTTGGCGCTTGCTGATAGAAACTTGTACTGGTAAGGGCGTTGCATGCAAATGCACCGATTAATTACAGTGAGAAGCCCAGTCAAAGAAATAGGTGAGTGTTCGCCAGGTGAAGGCCGGATTAACAACACGTACCAGTGCCCTGCCCTGAATGAAAGATAGAGTGATCAAACCCAGTGTAGATCCATGTATTATATAGTTACATTATAAATATATATATATATTATAATATATGAAATTATATATAGATCTGTTACGTATAGATTATCTAAATTATTGCAGGCCCTCTTTTGTTTGGTCAGTGTTGCAAAAGCATCAAGTGACCCCCCAAGGAAAGCACAGAGTCACTGATGCATTAGACGTCAGTTGTCTTCCATTTGGGAACCACAAAAACAGCAGGAATCGGCGGGAACGCGGGAATTTGAAATTCTGAAGAGAAAGCATCTACACTGAGCAGCCAGATTCACCTCCAAATCCTTAGAAAAGCTGCGTTTGGGTGGCCAAAGGGGCCAAAAGGGATGGCGCGAACAACCACATGAGCCCGCATGTCATGAGCCCGCATGAAGACCACCTGACACCTGGTCAGCCAAAATAGTTCCACCTTGTTGGATTCCTTGGATGGTCGGCCAGTCTTGTTGTCCAATTCACCAAGAACTGCATCTTGGCCTCCAAATAGTTGTTGAATATATAGTCAAATTGGGTAGAAAGTGGGCGTCACCAAGCCCGACCAAAAACATTCCATCGGGCACTGAAGCTAGCTGCTGTCCATTGATTTTGGACTGCAAGACGTTCTTCCCTCATGAATGTGTTTTCACCAACGAACAATTGCTGTCCACTGGATGAATGAAGATGAGTTCAGTTTGTCACAATGCTCCTGGAAGTCCTCCCTTGATTGCATCAGCAGGATCCCTTTTTCCCCCATCCGTTTGCCCACCGTCGCCGAGTCTCGTCGCCGAGTCTCGTTGCCGAGTCTCGTCGCCGAGTCTCAGGAGACCATTCGAGGTTGCATCCGTTTGGGCTTGGGCGGCGGAGGCGGCGTCTTGCGTGCCTCCTCACTATGGGCCTGGATGCGCGGCTGAGCTGCGCCACGAGAACGCTGCAGAAGGCCGACGAGAATACCCGGGAGTGAAGAAGATGGAGCTTTTCTGAGCTGATAACAGTGACCCTTGTACTTGAAGATGTTTGCTGCGATTCTGGGTATAGGATGGTATAGGTGCTTCAAGCCACGGAGCGCTTAAGTCTTGGTCACTTGTGGAGTCTCGGGGAGTTGGGTTGTCCTCGATTCATCTCGATTCTCAGTCTCCCGATGAGTTGTGAGTTTTTGAGTGTTTGAGTGTTCACTTGAGTCGCGAGTTGCAAGCATTCTATGCTCCACTCACGACAGGTGGATTTCACAAAATCTGCTTCTTCAAAAGCGACAGGGTCTGTTCACTGGGTCTTCATTCTGGCACTCCAATAAAGAGTTCCCGCGCCAAACCTTTTGAGCTACGTAACCGTTCAGTCGAAAAATTGATTGAATCACCCCAGAATCACCTTCGTTCGAGTCCAGTTCCAGTCATCTTGACCATACTGGGCCAGCAAGGATCTCCAGCCAGGTACCAGGCCTCATGGGTCTTTCTGCCTGCAGAAGTCTGGGCATCGAAGTCGCTGAACTGATGAACTGGTGGGGAACATGTTCTTGTGGGAAATGGTCTTGACATGGTTGATAAACTTCTTTGATCGCTTGGGAGACGTGTCTCCCACACCGGATGGTGTACTGGAATCTGCTCATTCATCTCTCCCTCCTAAACTGAGCCATGTTGTAATTGCAAAGAACATGGAAGAGCAAGGGGACACACGGCAATTGTGTTTTTACACAATAACAACGCCTCACTGTTCGACCAGTTGCTCTTCAGTTTAGACTTGTGCCCACGACAAAATCTCTATTCAATTCTTTGAGGAGTTGATCCAAACGGTCGATCTTCGCAACGGTCGCTAGTACAACGGTAGGGGGTCTATCTTAAGCCCCGATAGACCGAAGTAGACCCCAAAAGCAGCCAAGAAGGACGCGCCTTTTCCTGGGTCCCTGAGGTGCGCAATGGTGGCCAATGGACTTGCCCTGCAAATGGAAGCTAACAACCGTCCATCAGGCAAAACCAAACGAAGACTTTGGAGGTTAACCTGCAAGTCGCTCGCAATGCGCTTGTGCGTATCCCATGCGAAGTCAGACTCTTTTGCTCTCAATCGCAACACCTCATGCCCGGCCAAGTCACAGCATGTCAGCACCCATGCATCATCTTTGAAGGCAAGGCCCACTTGCAGAATGTAGTCTTTGCCACAATCAAAAAGGTAGCTACCGGTTGCAAACACCGGAATGTTGCATTCTCCATCAGCGTTACTTCCGCAAGCGACAGCGCTCCCATCACTTTGCAGAAGCACTGAATGATCAAATCCTGTAGAAATTTGGGTGTAGCACACTCCCTCCTCCAATGGCGGAATGTCGCATCGTCCTTCCTTCTTCCCTCCGCAAGCAATAGCGCTCCCATCACTTCGCAGAAGCACTGAGTGATAATATGCTGCAGAAACTTGGATGTAGCACATTCCCTCCTCCAAAGGTGGAATGTTGCATTCTCCATCATCGTTCCACCCGCAAGCAACAGCACTCCCATCACTTCGCAGAAGCACTGAATGATAAATTCCTGCAGAAACTTGGGTGTAGCACACACCCTCCTCCAAAGGTGGAATGTTGCATTGTCCAGTACTGTTAAACCCGCAAGCAACAGCAATCCCATCACTTCGCAGAAGCACTGAATGAAATTGTGCTGCAGAAACTTGTGTGTAGCACACACCCTCTTCCAAAGGGGGAAGGTCGCATTGTCCATATTGGTTCCTTCCGCAAGCAACAGCACTCCCATCACTTCGCAGAAGCACTGAATGACTTGCTCCTGCAGAAACTTGGGTGTAGCACACACCCTCCTCTAAAGGTGGAATGTCGCATTGTCCTTCTTCGTTCATTCCACAAGCAACAGCACTCCCGTCACTTCGCAAAGGCAGTGAATGACTTGTCCCTGCAGAAGCTTGGGTGTAGCACACACCCTCCTCCAAAGGTGGAATGTTGCATTGTCCATATTGGTTCCTTCCGCAAGCAACAGCACTCCTATCACTTCGCAGCAGCACTGAATGTCTGTTCATATCCTGCAGAACACATTGTCACAAACTGGAGAACAACTTGAGTAGAGAATTGCATCTTGGGCCAAAAGTTGTTCATGTTGTTTCTTTGGCTTGCCTGGGTTCGCCCGAGATGAATTCCAATGGCATATGGTCCTAGTGAAGAAAGGTTTCACTGGAGCCACCCGAAATTGTTATTGTTGCCTGGTGTTGAATTTTGGGGGCTGGTTTGGCAGCCTTCTCTCTCTGTTCCTGTGCTTGTTTCACACGATCATAGTTCAAACCAGGGCTGTTGGGAGTGACTCTGATCCATGCGTTCTGCCTTGTTTTCAGTCGGCTAGGCAGCCTATTTGCAAGCTAGTCAACCTATAACAATGATCACTATTCTGTTGGAAGCTCATCAAGGTGCAAACGCACTTCTGGCTGACTCTCATGTGACAACAAGAACACCCAAAGAAACAAGTGGTTCAAAATGAACAGAACGCTAGAAGCAAGATAGTTGGATCAAGAAATGATTGTCGATCCTGGAGTAGATAGAATGTGAACCAATCCAAAAGCATGACCGGTTTCCTATTGTTTCTTAATTTTCCCATATTCTATCTAGTCCAAGACGACTATACAAGCTGAAGCCACCCACTTCCATGCACGATCCAACTCGTCAGTGTACACTGTATACACCTTTTTGCACTGAACTGCTCTGCATTGCTCTGCAACTCAATCATGGACCGTACCAATACTTGGACAAAGTTGTACGATCTTTCAGAGACAGATGCCAGGCCCCGCCATAGCTGATCTCAGCAGTAACAGCAACACCACGTCGGACGCTCCTCGTCCAACTTTCTCTGTGGCTTTACTGTAGTGCTCTCTTCATCCCAGTTCATTGCAGTCAGCAAAGGATTCTGGCGTGACGTGTGAGATTTTGTGGAACCTTCACATCCTTCACCAGGTTCATTGTGATTTACCCATGTGTGTGTGTGGCCAAATGGATGCGTCCATCATGCCTGCGACCACTTTCTCAGCTCGTTCCGGCAGACACCTGCGCAGCTGGCTGTGCAGCTGGCTGCGGTCTCGCAGGCTGCGAGACCCTTGGTCGTCCGACCGACGGTCAAAGCGACAATGGGACACGCCTCACTGTGGTCCACTGCCCTTCACTCAGATCCGCAATGGTGGCCAATGGACTTGCCCTGCAAATGGAAGCTAACAACCGTCCATCAGGCAAAACCAAACGAAGACTTTGGAGGTTAACCTGCAAGTCGCTCGCAATGCGCTTGTGCGTATCCCATGCGAAGTCAGACTCTTTTGCTCTCAATCGCAACACCTCATGCCCGGCCAAGTCACAGCATGTCAGCACCCATGCATCATCTTTGAAGGCAAGGCCCACTTGCAGAATGTAGTCTTTGCCACAATCAAAAAGGTAGCTACCGGTTGCAAACACCGGAATGTTGCATTCTCCATCAGCGTTACTTCCGCAAGCGACACCACTCCCATCACTTCGCAGAAGCACTGAATGAAAGACTCCTGCGGAAACTTGGGTGTAGCACACACCCTCCTCCAAAGGTGGAATGTCGCATTGTCCAGCATGATTCATTCCGCAAGCAATAGACCTCCCATCACTTCGCAGAAGCACTGAATGAGCATTTCCTGCAGAGACTTGGGTGTAGCACATTCCCTCCTCCAAAGGTGGAATGTTGCATCGTCCATCACAGTTCAATCCGCAAGCAACAGCACTCCCATCACTTCGCAAAAGCACTGAATGATCCCATCCTGCAGAGACTTGCATGTAGCACATTCCCTGCTCCAAAGGTGGAATGTTGCATTGTCCATAACGGATCGACCCGCAAGCAACAGTACTCCCATCACTTCGCAGAAGCACTGAATGTTCACCTCCTGCAGACACTTGGGTGTACAGCATTCCCTCCTCCAAAGGTGGAATGTTGCATTGTCCACGATCGTTTCCTCCGCAAGCAACAGCGCTCCCATCACTTCGCAGAAGCACTGAATGATAAATTCCTGCAGAAACTTGGGTGTAGCACACACCCTCCTCCAAAGGTGGAATGTTGCATTGTCCAGTACTGTTAAACCCGCAAGCAACAGCAATCCCATCACTTCGCAGAAGCACTGAATGAAAGACTCCTGCGGAAACTTGGGTGTAGCACACACCCTCCTCCAAAGGTGGAATGTCGCATTGTCCAGCATTATTCATTCCGCAAGCAATAGCCCTCCCATCACTTCGCAGAAGCACTGAATGAGCATTTCCTGCAGAACACATCGTCACAGACTGGAGAGGAGAACGTCCCTATGTCCCTTTAGATTGCTGTTTGGGCCAAAGGCAACTTTTAAATGTTGTCCTTCGTTCTTCTGCTGGTGTTGCCACTGATTGGTTCCAATGACATGTGGACACTTTCCCATGCATAAGCCCAATTCAGACCTTTATGGTGCAGGACACCGATGACCTGGCCAGAGCAAGACTTGGGACTTGATAGGATCCGAAAGGATTCAAGTGGGATTGCGCTACCATGTGGTCAGCTTCCGCAGTAAAACTGTTGGTCCAGGACAAACCGTGATCCCCATTCAAGATGCTTCATGGTCATTGATGAGATGTTCCTTTGAACAAAGGCAGCTTGTGATTTCGTCAAGCAAAGCACTCCATCAGCTATGTCTCATAATCGGCTGCCAGCAGCATGTTAGTATCTGTTAATGTGGTTTTTCAGACATAGTATCACATCCTCCCCTGTGCTCACCCTGTATACTCCCCAGTCGTGGGGCCCCTCAAATACCCCTCAAGTCTGCAGATTGGGGTTCACTTGCTCGATCTTTCATGATCTGTCTACAGTAGCCGCTAGCCCTTTCTGACGCATTGGAATGCCCCGCAGTCAAACTCGGCTGAAATCTTGTTGCGAGCGCCAGAAACAAAGACCAATCAAAGGTGTCTTTGTCTTTGTCATTAATAAATGTTGTATGCAACATGCACATATTTGCACCCGTCAGAGTTCTGAGGCGTGTCAATTTGTTCGAACTGAGTTGGGAACCTTTCGAATGCTTGAGATGGCCGCCCCGCTGAAGTATCT